ATAATAATAATAATAATAAACAATAATGATGTAGACCATCATGGCAAAATTATACTTATAACTGCTCTGCTCATTATTATTTGTCAGGAACAGGTTTGAGTCGTGCAAATCTTCTTATTTCGCGCGATGGACGCTTTGAAGTAGAGCAAAGTAAACGTAGAAAAACCAGACTTGATCTAGCAACGATTTTTTTTACCTTCCTAGTATTTTGTCCTCATACTTGTTTTTACTTGTTTGTTTAGCTTGTTAGATATTTTTCTATATTTTCGTTTACTTCTTTTTTGTATTTTGGAAGCGGTCTTGCAGACAGATCGATGCAAATGTAAATATTTCGCAATGTCGAACCAGTAAGGACTTAGTCTTACAATAAGTACAGCAAAACTTGCTTAACCCGAGAGTCTTTTGAATCGAAATGATAGGCAGACACATAGACAGACTTATGGCTGGAGAGATGGACAAGCAGACAGATGGATGGACAGATGTACAGGCAGATAGGCAAGCAGGCAAGAAGACAGACAGACACACAAACAGACAGGGAGACAGGCAGACAGATGGGTGGGCAGGCAGGCACATAGACAGACAGAAGATAGATAAACAGACATTTGGACAGACAGACAGACAGTTTGAAGGCAGGCAAGCAAACAGACATACCGACAGGCAGACAGTTTGATAAGCAGGCACAGACAGCAGACAGTCAGGCAGACAGACAGACAGATAGACAGGCAAGCAGATATGCAGATAGGCAGATAGACAGACAGACACGAATGCATACATAACATTACAACATAAGTCAGTCGAGTCGATACAAATCAACGGAATCGAAACCACGGGACAAAAGCGATAAAGAGAAAAAAAAGCCAGACGTGACGACAGAAAGGGGGACACATTGACATAGATCCATCGATTGATTGACTGCTAATGTTTTACGCCCCCTTCCACACAATTCAGCTTATTTGGAAGGTAGGTTACTTCGACCCTGCGGTCAGAGCTAATTCTGGTTGAAAGGGAAACCACATCCCAGCAGGCAGACGGAAATATCGATAAAAATAAAAGAAGCCACGAGAATGTTTCTGGGTGTACCAGGGTCTGCTGGGGTAATGATAGTCATGAAGTAGAAAAGCGCACAGAGCATGTTGTAGAGTGGCAGAGACAGAGAGACAAAGAGAGGGGGAAAGGGAAATGTGGAGAGACAGAAACAGAGAGACAGAGAGACGGAGAGAGGCCGAGATAAAGAGACAAAGAGGCGGAGAGAGACAGAGAGAAAAAAGACAAAGAGAGAATGACAGATACACAGACAGACAGTCAGACAGACAGACAGACAGACAGACAGACAGACAGACAGACAGACAGACAGACAGACAGGCAGACAGATAGAAAGACAGACAGACCGACCGACAGACTGACCGACGAACAGACAGACAGACAGACAGACACACAGACAGACAGACAGACCAAGCAGACAGACAGACCAAGCAGACAGACAGACAGACAGACAGACCAAGCAGACAGACAGACAGACAGACAGACAGACCAAGCAGACAGACAGACAGACAGACAGACAGACCAAGCAGATAGACAGACAGACAGACAGACAGACAGTAAGACAGACAGTAAGACAGACAGACAGACATATAACTCACCTCCAATCTGTTCTGTCCCTCCTTGGCCGCTATCTCCAGCTGTTTCTCCAGAGTGGCCCAGTTGACGTGCGGTAGCGTGGACTCGATGTTGTACACGTCAAAGTCGCCTTCCGCGTCGCTGCTATTTCCCTGTGAGCCAGCATTGGCGGGCCGACTTCCATCCCTCTCCAGGCGAGGAGAACCCATCATAAACCGGTTGGGTCGCATGTTTGCTGGGAGGTCCAGGTTCGAATCCCCCCTCCTCGCCTCGTTGGCGGGAGGATCTTCTGTTCGTTGGTTCGCCGCAGCAACCGACGACTTTTCATAATTCTTCGGCAATGACGTCGTCATATTTTCGGCTCCGGAAGAGGTGCCATCTTTGCCATCTTTCTGCGAGAGGTCATGACCCCCGCTGGTCGCCATGATGCCCGGCATGTTTCCTCCGCCCGCCAACGACGATGCTCTCAGCGGACTTTTCGAGTTGGTCCTCCTTGACCTTTCAATCGACTGACCCCTTGAGCCCGCCGGACTCAGACTCTGACGCAAGTTCTTCACGCTCTGGTTGCGGTGAAAGTTAAAAGCACACGCCTGCGCGTCCACCTTTTTCAGCTCGGCGAACTCCTGTGCCAAACTCAGGAGGTTAATCTTCCTGATCCTCTTCTCAAAATCGGCCTGGCTCTCGCCCTCCCTCCTCTCCACCTCGGACTCGAACTCCCCCTCCTGGCGACTCAGCTCTAGCCAGGAGTCGCCTCCCTCCTCGGAACGTAGCGTATCGCGGTCCAAATAGTGCACGTCTCTTTCGATGTCTTTGAGAGGTCCGCCCAGCTCGGAGTAATCCGACACAACAGACTCGCACTCGACGTCTACGGAGAAACGGCTCGGGGATTTTTTGTCTCTCGTTCGCTCTAAACTAGACAGGACGGTCTGAGGATCCAGCGAGGTGGTCGTTGAGGTTTTGTTAATATCAGCACCGTCGTCGTTTGCACCAGTGCTGTTGTCGCTGTTGCTGTTGCTGTTGCTGCTGTCTTCGCGGCCTGGCGGGAGCAGAGCGGTGGTTTCGGAAGAACTGAACTCGGCACCGTCCAGCTCGTCTTCGGAGTCGGCCGGGGCTGTGGCTGAGCTGTCGTCTCCACCACCTGAGGGAATATTCAGAGGGTCAATTGGAGAAGGCGGTGTTGCTGTTGTTGTTGCTGTTGTGGTGTTGTTGGTTTTGTGTCGTTGTTGTTGTTATTTTGTTGTTGTTGTTGTTGTTGCTGTGTTGTTGCTGTTGTGCTGTTATTGTTGTTGTTTTTGTCGTCATCGTCCTTGTTCTTCGTCTACTCTCATATTTGACTCAGTAAGGTACATGTACCTTGGTTCTTTTCACTCAAACAAACAAACAGACATCATCTTTAACGAGTATTATCTCACTATTAAAACAAAGTATCTCAGCGTTCTTTAACCAAACAAACTAACAACCAAAATAATACAATAACATCTTATCCTAAAGCACATTTTATTTTATTTTATCTCATCCTATCATATCCTATATATTATAATATTACATTGGCGCTCATATGACCATATGCAGTTGCGAGCGCCGTAAAACCCTCTACTATAAAAAAAAATAAATATTACAGCAAAATACCTCGGTTCTCTTTACTCAAACACATCTATCTTATCTTATCCTACAACAAAGTACATTGGTTCTCTTTACTCTAACATTTTCTGATCTTATCCTGTGTTTCCTAGTGTCATATTACAACAAAGTACTTAAGTTCCTTTTACTCAAACCAATCTTATCCTACTCATATCATACCATAAAAGACAACAAAGTACCTTGGTTCTCTTTACTCAAACTAATCATATCTTACTTATCCAATACCATACAATTACAACAAAGTACCTTGGTTCTCCTCGGGAGTCAGCAGCGTCATGGCGGCGATGGCGCTCTCAGTCTCGCTGTTCTCCTCCTCATGGTCACTCTCGTGCTCGGTCAGCCGTGACTCCAGAATGGACTTGATGACCTTCGAACCTTCTACCTCCTTGTAGACCCCAAAGTCGGAGATTTCACCGACCTCTGGTGATGAAATGTCTGTGATGACGCAAGCGTTTTTGGAGTTCTGAGTCTCCTCCTTCTTCTCGTTGTTGACAATTTCCGTCACTTCTGATGCGATGTTTTTTGTGATGACGGCACTACTCTCCTTGACTTCCGCAGCAATGTTTGTCGCGTCTGTGGTCACGTGAGCGTCATTATTGCAGCTCGTGTCTGCACGTTTTGAGACATTGAGGTTCTTGGTCGCTCCGGAACTATTGGCTGTTGGGAAAAGAGCAGGAAATTTCGTTCCACACTGGTCCGGACTAGATTGTATCGTTCCCTCAGCAGCAGATGATGATCGCCGACGCCTGAAAGCTCGCCACGCTCTTTGGATACTGCAAAAGAAGCGGAGAAAACGAAGTTACTTCATGCGATGGCAATATGCGATACCTGTAAGCTTGGTAAGTTCTTTGAATATTGCAAAAAAAGAGGAAAAACTGGGTTAGATCATAGTCATCCTCATCATCATCATAACTATCATAATCATTATTTTCGCTATTGCCTTTCTCACCCTGCATCAGGATATAGACCACGACCAAACAATTCCCACCTGTCCCTATCCTGGGCGTGCCTCTTGATAATGTCCCATGTCTTCCCACTCAGTGACTCTTGTTTACCCCATACGATGGTAATATAATGACACCTGTAAGTTCCTTAATTCCCTTGGATATATCGTAAAAAAAGGGGTAAAACTGTGTACTTCGTATTACAATAATATTTGCGTAATATACGGCATTATGCGACAACTGGATACTGATTTCATAGTAACGATTACATATATTTTACTGCCCCATTTACACAATTAAAACTCCTTGTTAAAGGGCGGGCTGTTTTTGGCCCTGCCTGGCACGGCCAATCCTGATACAGTATCCAGATACAATATCATAGAGGACAGACATAAATGATAACAACTACAAAACTGTACGAAAATATGAATCGAAATCACGACTGCTCGTAACAGCCTAACCAGACGAAGGAATATTGATCTAACCAAGCTCTCTGCATGCTTCGTTAAACAAAAAACCCTGTGCCAGTCAACTCATATTCCTGATTTATTTTTTATTATGTTGGCAGTTTTTCGTAAACATTTTATCATAACAGGCATCAGTTGGGCAGCAGTTAGGCGCACGCAGAAGATCTGAGTTCGATTCTCCAGTGGAGTGACATTTTATAGAGTATTTCGGTGTTTCTGCTGGGACGTTGTATCCGTCTAGGCCCAGGTTGGCCGTGACAGGCAGGGAAGAAGCCCACCTCCTAAATTATCTAAATTGTGTTGATAGGTGCGTAAAAGACACTAAAATAAAAATAAAAACTATACTGTGGCAATACTGAAGATTCCAATGGTATAAATCAACGAACTTTAGGACTGTGGCGGAATTAGTGACTTAGTCAAGTTGAAACTTTGAAATATGGTCAAATCGCACTGCGTCCACAATCAATGATATCGAAAATACATTATCACAAGATGAACTCACAAAGAATAAATAGCTTTGTCTTGTTTGAGTCTTGACTCCAGCTACAGAGAACCACATAACACGATAACGGCCATTTAGGGCAGCGAAGAAAAAGGAAAAAAAAGAAAGAAAAAGAAAACGTTCACACAGCACAATACAATAAACGACACGAAGTCGGAATGGCTGTATTATGAGAAACCATCTAGTACAGTTTGCAGTTCAGAGAGCAATGTGGCAGAACGACAGCATAATATTATCGTGCCCGAAAGATCATCGCAAGCCCAGGTCTCGTGGGTAAGAGAGAGAGAGAGAGAGAGAGAGAGAGAGAGAGAGAGAGAGAGAGAGAGA